CAGGCAGCATCAGGGGCTGAGAGAGGTGAAGGAATCAGCACGGTCATGGGCCAGCCCGGGCAGGGTGATACATCTGTCCTGCCGGACCCTTCAAGCGGCAGACCACAGGGTCCCCCAACCTTGAGGGTCCAAGTTCAGAGATAGGGAGGTATTTTAGGGATTCAGACTGAGAGCTCTGTAGGGTGGCGATCATGCCAGCTGCAGCTCCAAGCACCTCCTGCCATTGCTTGGTGTGGCCTGACTCAGAGGGGGCCTTGCCGATAGGTGTTGGCAGCCTCAGCCAGAGAAACCGGGACTCTGCTCTGTGGGTGTGTGGGGCCCAGAAGTAGAAGTGTGGGGGCTTCATTCACATTGGCCTCTGGGCTTTGGAAAGCTTATTGCCCCAGCCCTTGGCCCCACACTGGGCAGGGCAGATTTACAGCGCCTGAGCTGCCTTGGGTGGGCACACTGGGCTAAAGGCTGGACTGCTCCCCAGAGCCACCCAGACAATGGAGGGTTCGCTCCCGTGCAACCTGGCAAGTCAACTGTTCTTTATTAGGTCAAGTTTATTGAGGTACAATTTTCATACAATTAAATTCGCCCTTTTAAATTATACGGTTCAATGAGTTTGACAAACATATGTTGTCACATAACCACCACCACAATCCAGATCTAGAACATTCCCATCACCCAAATAAGTTCCCTCAGGCCCTTTGAAGTCAATCCCCTTCTCCTACCCTTGGCCCCTGGCAACTGCTGGTCTGTTTTATGTCCCTATCATTTTGGCTTTTCCAGAATGTCAGGTAAGTGGACTCATTCAGATTGTAGCCTTTTATTTTTTTATTTTTATTTTGAGACAGGGTCTTGCTCTGTTGCTCCAGCTAGAGCACATTGGCATCATCATAGTTCACCGCAACCTCAAAACCTCCTGGGCTCAAGAGATCCTCCTGGCTCAGCCTCCCAAGTAGCTGGGACTATAGGTGCACATCACCACACCTGGTGAACTTTTTAAAAAAATTTTTGTAGAGATGGGGGGTCTTGCTATGTTGTCCAGGCTGGCCCCAAACTACTGGCCTCAAGTGATCCTCCTGCCTCAGCCTCCCAAAGTGCTGGGATTACAGGTGTGAGCCACTGCACCTGGCCAGGTTGTATGTAGCCTTTTAGATCTAACTTCACTCAAAAGCTTTTGAGATTCATCCATGTTGTCCCAAATATCAACGGTTTCTTCCTTTCACTGCACGGACAGATCACAATTTGATGGCCCATATGGGTTTTTTCCAGTGTTTGGCAATTATGAATAAAGCCACTTTATGTATTCACGTACAAGTCTTTCAGCGGACAGGTATTTTCATTTCTCTAGGGTACATGCCTAGGAATGAGATAACTAGGTTGCATGGAAAATATATGCTCTTCTTTATATGAAAATGACAAACTCTTCCAAAGCGGGTGTATTTCATCTTTGTTTTTATCCCATTGGTGGATCTATTCTCTTGTCAACAACAGCAGGACCATTGTGGAAAGACCATTGATTCATTATTTAGTGAGAAACTCAAATTAAGGGATATTTGCAAAAAGCTTTACTGTTTCAGTACCTTATCAACTGCCACTCAAAGGATTGAGGTAGAAGTGTCTGCTCCTCTAGGGTGACCAACTGTCCTGGCTTGCCCGAGACTCTCCTACTTTTAGCACTGAAAGTCCTGGGAAACCCCTCAGTCCTGAGACCGAACTGGGACAGGTGGTGACATTACTCATGCTGTGCTGTGCACATCCACATGTCATTTTATCCACAGGCCAGTGTCAAAGGTAGGTTTGCTTGTGCCTACTTTGTGCATAAGCAAGCAGCCTTAGAAAGTTTAAGTTGCTTGCCCAAGCCCAGGGTGGGTGAAGCCGAACTTTGGCACCAGGCCTGCCAGTCTCCAAAGCTCTGATGTCTTCTGGAGACCTTGCTCCCTGGGTGCCTAGTTCTGGGTCTCAGGGAAGGTGGATTTAAAGCACCCAGTGGCTGGATTCCGGGACCCGGCTGGTTTGGGTGGGGCTTTGCTGCCCTCTGGTGGCAGATAGGGTGGCACTCCGGGTCTGAGTCCCCTTTCATGGGGCAGCCAGTCGTTGGGAGAGGTGCCCTTCATCTCAGGCAGGAGGACCTGAAGTCTGGCCTTAGCCCTAGAAAGGTGCCACAGGAACAGCCCCCACTAGGGTCCACTGGGGGCCTTGTCCCATCCACTCTCATGAGTCACACAATCACTCAGGCCCTCATGAACCCTTGGCCAGACCACTGGGTTTGAGCCTGTGTGTCCCTGAGCCAGTCACTTTCTCCTCTGGGCCTCAGTTCCTCCTCTTAAAATTGGGATGATAAACATGTCAACAACTTACACCAAACATTACCAACTCCTTCACACTCACATGCCCTAACTCTTCCCCACCTTTGTGCATTCATTCACTTCATTCAGCCACTTAACCTCCATCCAGAGCTATCTGCCAAGCACCAGCTCTGTGCCAGACCCTGAGCTGGGGGTACCAGGGAGACCCCTGCCAACAAATCAGACACTGCCCTGCATTCCTGGCTCTGTAACTCTCTGCTGTTCCACTGACTTGTGTTCATTCATTCACTGAGTGTCCATTTATTTACTGAGCATTCATTCATTCTTTCTTGCACTCAGTTAACTTCCTTATTCATTCATTCATCCATCACTTGGTCATCTCATTGACATATTCATTCATTCACTTTTCACTTATTCTTTTATTCCTCTATTTGTAAGCATCTGGAAGCACCCACTCTATGCCAGGCCAGGGTTAGATGCTGGGATTCTGGTCCAACCCTCCCCTGAGGCCTGTGGGGAGGCAGATGGTGAGAGTGCTGTGGTAACCACCACACCAGCCACTGGGACCCAGAGCAGGGGAGCACCAAGAAGGGAGCAACTTATTGCCTGGGGAGGTGGGAAGAGGAAATCAGAGAAGGCTTTACGGAGGAGGCAGCATTTAAGCCAAGTTAAGAAAGCTGTGTGGGAGTTCTCTAGGGAGGAAAAGTCACTCCAGGTACATTCTTTGTTTTGTGGAGTGCTTTGAGAAAGGTGAGGTACCAGGTTGCTAGGGTGTGTGATGTAGGGTGAGTTTGTGTACATGGCCCCACCCAGGCCAAGCCCTCCCCAGGTTTCAATGGCAGACCTGGGCCACTCAAGGACTTCCCCTAATTCCTCACCCCTGGCCCCTAGAAAAGCACTTACCATTAGGCAGCCAGGAATGACCTTTAAAGAACTAACAGTGCCCTTGGGTACCATCCACTTGTCCACCTGTTCATTCCCCTGGGGACTCAGTGGGAGTGTCCAGGGCTGAGCAGGCAGCAGTGGCATCTGAGGTGCCTGCCCCCAAGATCCCATGTTCACCCAGCAAATGTCTATTGAGTACCTTGCTGTGGGCCAGGCCTTGCCCCAGACACTGGGGTACAGCAGTGAACAAGACATCTAGGGGGTGACAAATGACAAACAAGAAAACCAGCTGTGAAGACTTCCAGGAACACACCCGTATTTGAGCAAATTGGGTTTATTGCTTGTTGCAAAAAGGAAGACTACACTTACCTCAGTTAGAGGGTGCTGGAAAGGGCTCATTATAGGATTTGGGCTTTTGTTAGGCGATTTGGGGGAGGATTCAAGTAAGTGCACTTTTACTCTGGATTAGATGCTGTCAGGAAGTGAGGACAATTCTATAATTAGACATGTTAACAAATACTTATATTAGGGTTCTCCAGAGAAACAGAACCAACAGGATGCATTTAAAAAGCAATTGGCTTGTGCGATTATAGAGGCTGACAAGTCCCAAGATCTGCAGGGTAAGTCAGGAAGGTGGAGAGCCAATGGATCATTCCAGTTCAAGTCAGAAGCCCTGGGAACCAGGAGAGCCAGCGCCGCAGTCCCTGTCTGAAGGCTTGCAGGCTCGAGACCCATGAATAGCCAATGTTTCAGTTCCACCAATATCTTAGTTCTGAAGCCATAAGACAGTAATAATTCTCTTACTTGGAGGAGGGTCAGCTTTATTGTTCTATTCAGGCCTTCAACTGATTGCACAAGGACCATTGACATTAGAGAGGAGAATCTACTTTACTTAGTTGAGCCATTTAAATGTTAATCTCATCCGGAAACAACCTCCCAGATATACCCAGAATAGTGTTTGACCAAGTATTTGGGCACTCCATGGCCCTGCAAATTGACACATAAAATTAACCTCCACAATATTTAACGCCAGAGGAATGAGTGGAGTCTAATGCTGTAAAAAAGCAGCAGTCACTCATATTAGCCAGAATAGGGAGATGTTTGGTCTTTTTCTAGTACGAACAATTTCTTGTTTTCATATGAATTATGAGTTTAAACATGATCGCAGAGGTCTATGTCTTGCTCCACCACGGTCACAGAATGGCCTTGAGTGATGCTGGTGTCCTGGTAAATTATTTACGTTCAGCAGAACACCGAGGCCTAGCTATGAATGCTTGGCCAGCTCCCAGATGTGAGTGCGGCTTTTCTCTTTCTCCTAAGGAAGGCTCATTCACTGGGCAGAGGTGTATTCGCTGGGGGCCAGGTACGGCGTAATCCAGGAGGCACAAAAAAGACAGGCCCCAGTCTTTGGGGAGCTCAGTGACATGTTTATGCTGTCTAATATAAACAGGAGATTGTCATTAATGGAGGAGGGGACCAGACACAAGGAACCGCCAAGACAAAGCCCAGAGGCGAGGACAGTAGAGCAGGAGGAGGTGCTGAGAGCCCTGCGCGGTGGCGCGACGTCGCCCACAGGGACTGGAGAGGTCGGCAGCGGCCGGGCGTCTCAGGTACCGAGGGCCACCACTCGTCCAGGAACGAAGGCTTCGAGCTGCACTGATTTGTTCAGAGACAGGAAATGAAGCCAAGCAGCTTTTATCAAAATAACTCACGCCAGCCTCGGGCTCATGAATATTCAGCAGGCTGCTTCCGGCGTGTAAGTCCGCCCTAGCCCCTCCTCCCTGCTCGGAGGCTGCGCGTGCGTCGCCAGCGCGCGACTCTGTCGTCATACATGCGCGCCGCCGCCGTCGCTCCCGGGGGGAAAGCAGGCAAACTGTGATGGCGAGCTCAGCAGCCTCCTCGGTGCGACCGCCGAGGCCGAAGAAAGAGCCGCAGGCGCTCATCATCCCCAAGAATGCGGCAGAGGAGCAGAGGCTCAAGCTGGAGCGGCTCATGAAGAGCCCGGTGAGACAAGGCCTGGGCTCCACAGCCCGTCCGAGGCCGACCACCTTCCGCTCCAGCGCCTCTTGGAGCCGCGGGCCCATCTTTCCTGCCTCCAAACTCAGAAACTCAGTATTTGGCGCCCTAAAGCAGTTCTTGGGAAGGAGTAGGCTGCCCTGGAGATCGTGAGCTTCCCGTCTGTCCTGTGTTAGAGCCCAGCCTGATGAAGGCGCTGTGGAGCGGCTTCCTGTGCTCTAAGACCTTTTCTAGTTTAACTTTCTGTAAACGAAAGCGTTAGGCTGAAAAGATAGAATGTGTGGCTTAACAAAAGGGTTTATGTGTTCTAAACAGCACTGATTGTGGGAGAGACAGGCCGAGACGCTTGGAGCAAGTCACTCCTCTCCCCCTCCCTTCCCCGGTCTGGTTCTCTGTCCCCTCAATCATAAAAACAATTTGATGAGAGGATCTCTTATACCTTTCGCTGGAAAGGAAAGGCTTGACTTTTCTCCCTGGTGTTAAAGTTGGAGATTTCTAGCCATAAACGGTGGCTTAGGTTTCTGAGTTCTGCTGTGGGAAGGTGTGGGCTGTTATACCCCAGAGCATACAGGATGAAGTAAAGGCAAGACAGAGGAAAGAAGATAAAGTCAGCTCTGGGTCCAAGGAGCAAAGCAGCCCTACTTAACTAATCGAATAAAAATCTTTGGTCATAAGAGGTGTAACTTTGTCAGCGGGTTTATACTTACAAATGCTTTCATGTTTAAATGTTTTCAGGACAAAGCAGTTCCAATTCCAGAAAAAATGAGTGAATGGGCACCGCGACCACCTCCAGAATTTGTCCGAGATGTAATGGGTAATGTCATTTGTGTGTTTGAGAATATAATTTTTAAAGGTGGATACAGACACCCTGCAGTTAGTATTTGTTAATTAGATCTCTGATAGGAAAAAAAATGTTCACTGGTCCAATAGTTTGCTTTTACACTGAAGGGGTGTGGTGGCTTATGGTTTGGCACTGGAGAATTTTCTTCTGCATTATTCTTAATACACTGTATTTTCTTCTAAATGGAAATAGTTCTATTATGTCGTTGAATTATAAATTAGCATATACTACAGGCATACCTCAGAGATAGTATGTGTTGGCTTCCCAATCACCCCAATAAAATGAGTCGCACACATTTTTTGGTTTCCCAGTGCATATAAAAGTTACGTTTACGCTATACTCTAGTCTTTTAAGTATGCAGTAGCATTATACCTGAAAAACAATATATGTACCATAATTTAAAAATACTTTATTGCTAAAAAATGCTAATGATCACCTGAGCCTTGAGCAAGTCATAATCTTTTTGCTGGTGGAGGGTCTTGCCTCGGTCTTGATGGCTGCTGACTGATCAGGGTGGCGGTTACTGAAGGTTAGGGTGGCTGCAGCAATTTCTTACAATAAGACAACAATGAAGTTTGACATATCAGTTGACTCTTCCCTTCACAAAAGATTTCCCTGTAGCATGCGATGCTGTTTGATAGCATTTTACCCACAGTAGAACTTTCAGATCTGGAGTCAGTCCTCTCACACTTTGCCAGTGCTTTATCAACTAAATTTTATGGAATATTCTAAGTCCTTTGTTGTCATTTCAGTAATGCTCACAGCATCTTTACCAGGAGTAGATTTCCTTTCAAGAAACCAATTTCTTTGCTCATCTATAAGAAGCAAGTCCTCACATATTCACATGTGGTTGTGAGATTGTGACAATTCAGTCACATCATCAGGCTCCGCTTCTAATTCTAGTTCTCTTGCTGTTTCCACCACATCTATAATTCTTTTCTCCACTGAAGTCATGAATCTCTCACAGTCATCCATGAGGGTTGGAATCAACTTCTTCCAAACTCCTGTTAATACAGATATTTTGACCTCCTCCCACAAATCACAAATGATGTTAACAGCATCTAGAATGGTGGATCCTTTCCAGATGGTTTTCCATTTCCATTCCATCAGAGGAATTACTGTCTATGGCAGCTATTACAAAATCTATTTCTTTATTTAAAAAAGCTTTTTTTTTTGGCCAAGCGCGGTGGCTCACGTCTGTAATCCTAACACACTGGGAGGCTGAGGCGGGCGGATCATTTGAGCTCAGGAGTTCGAGACCAGCCTGAGCAAGAACAAGACCCTATCTCTACTAAAAAAATAGAAAGAAACTGGGTGTGGTGATTTTACACCTGTAGTCCCAGCTACTCGGGAGGCTGAGGCAGGAGGATCGCTTGAGCCCAGGAGTTTGAGGTTGCTGTGAGCTAGGCTGATGCCACGGCACTCTAGCCAGGGCAACAGAGTGAGACTCTGTCTCAAAAAAAAAAAAAAAAATGTTTTTTTTGTAGAGATGAGGTTCCCCTATGTTGCCCAGGTTGGTCCTGAACTCCTCAAGTGATCCTCCTGTCTCACTTCTCAAAGCACTGGGATTATAGGCATCAGCCACCATAAGAAATAGACCCGAAATCTATTTCTTAAATTGTAGGACTTAAAAAGTCAAAATTACTTCTTGATCCATGGGCTGCAGAATAGATATTATGTTTGCAGGTGTGAAAATGACATTCGTCTCCTTGTGCATCTCCATCAGCTCTGGGGTGACCAAGTGGCATTGTCAATAAGCAGTAATATTTTGAAAGGAATCTCTTTTTCTGAGTAGTAGGGCTCAGTGGTGGGCTTAAAATATTCAGTAAACCAAACAGATGTGCTGTCATCCAGGCTTTGTTGTTCCATTTACAGAGCATAGAAAGAATAGATTTAGCATAATTCTTAAGGACCCTAGGATTTTCTGAATGGTAAATGACCATTGCCTTCAACTTAAAGTCACCAGCTGCATTAGCCCTTAACAAAAGGGTCAGTCTGTCCTTTGAAGCTTTGAAGCCAGGCATTGATTTCTCTCTAGCTATGATAGTCTTGGATGGCATCTTCTTCCAATATAAGGCTATTTCATCTTACACTGAAAATGTATTGTTGTTTAGTTTACTCACCTTCATTAATGATCTTAGCTAGATCTTCTGGATAACTTGCTGCAGCTTCTACATCATACTTACTGCTTCACCTTGCACTTTTTTTTTTTTTTTTTGAGGCAGGACCTCACTCTGTTGCCCAGGCTGGAGTGCAGTGGTACAATCATAGCTCACTGCAACCTCAAACTCTTGGGCTCAAGTGATCCTCCCAGTCCAGCTTCCTGAGTAGCTAGGGCTACAGGTGTACACCACCACACCCAGCTAGTTTTTTTGTTTGTTTTTTGTAGAGATGGGGTCTTGATATGTTGCGCAGGCTGGTCTCAAACTCCTGGCCTCAAGCAGTCCTCCCGCCTTAACCTCCCAAAGTGCTAGGATTACAGATACAGGTGTCAGCCACTGCACCTGGCCCACCTTATACTTTTATGTTATAGATATGGTTTCTTTCCTTAAAGCCCATGAACCAACCTCTGCTAGCTTCAAACTTCTCTCCTGTAGATTCCTCACCTCTCTCAGCCTTCACAGAATTAAAGAGAGGGCCTTGCCCTGGATTAAGATTTGGCTTAAAGAAATATTGTGGCTGGTTTGATCTTCTATCCAGACCACTAAAACTTTCTCCGCATTAGCAGTAAAGCTGTTTCATTTTCTTTCCCATCATTTGTATGTTTACTGAAGTAGCACTTCTGATTTCATTCAAGAACTCTTCCTTTGCATTCACAACTTGGGTAACTGTTGGCGCAAGAGGTCTAGCTTTTGGCCTGTTGCTTTTGATTTGCCTTCCTCATTAAGCTTAATCATTTCTAGCTTTTGATTTCAAGTGAGAGACTTGTAATTATTCCTTTCACTTGAACTCTTAGAGGACCTTATAGGGTTATTAATTGGCCTAATTTTAATATTGTTGTGTCTCAGAGAATAGGGAAGCCCAACGGGGCGGGGGGGGCGGGGTACAGTGGTTGGTGGTGCAGTCAGAACACGTATAACATTTATTGATTCAGTCTTATATGGATGCAGTTCGTGGCACCCCAAAACAGTTATAATACTAACATCAAAGATCACTGATCACAGATCACCATAACAGATATAGTAATGAAAAAGTTTAAAATATTGTGATAGAATTACCAAAATGTGACACAGAGACATGAAGTGAACACATGCTGTTGGAAAAATGGCACCAATAGACTTGCTGTATTCAGGTTTGCCACAGACCTTCAATTTGTAAAATATAAGAAAGCATAGTGTAATAAAATGAGGTATGCCTGTAATTGTAAATAAAAAAATAATAAATAGAGGTATAAAAAGTTAGAACCACCTGTCATTCCATTGTTCTACTTGTAACATTCTGATGCAGCCTTCCAAACCTCTTTATAGTCAAAACTGCTCATTTAAGAAAAAGTGGGCCGGACATGGTGGCTTGAGCCTATAATCCCAGCATTTTGATAGGCTGAGGCAGGAGGATTGCTTGAGGCCAGGAGTTCAAGACCAGCCTAGGCAACATAGTGAGACCCTGTCTCTACAAAAAAATTTAAAAAATTAGCCAGGCGTGGTGGCATTCACTTATAGTCCTAGCTACTCTGAAGGCCGAGACAGGAGGATTGCTTAAGCCCAGGAGTTTGAGGTTGCAGTGAGCTGTGATTGCACCCCCGCACTCCAGCCTGGGTGACAGAGTGAGACCCTGCTCCAAAAAAAGAAAAGAGAGAAAATGATTGTCTTAATTCTTTTAGTGTTGCCATAAAGGAGTACCCGAGGCTGGGTAATTTATAAAGAAAAGAGATTTATTTGGCTCACGGTTCTACAAGCTATACCAGAAGCATGTGCCGGCATCTGCATCTGTGAGGGCCTTAAGCTGCTTCCATTTATTGCAGAAGGGGAAGGCATGTGTAGAGATCACATGTTGAGAAAGAAAGCAAGAGAGAGGGAAGGGAGGTACCAGGTTCTTTTGAACAACCAGCTCTCATGGGAACTAACAAAGCAAGAACTCACTCATTGGGAGGACAATTCCAAGCCATTCACGAGCGATCCACCCCCATGACCCAAACACCTCCCATTTGGCCCCACCTCCAACACTGGAGATCAGATTTTAACATGAGGTTGGGGGGCCAAACATCCCCACTATAGCAATGCTTTTACAAAAATATGATTGTTCTAATCATACTATTTTGTAACCCACTTCTTTTCATTTAATATAACATGAACATGATTTCAACTCGCTAAAAATCTAGCGTGTCAAATGTGAAATCATGGAAAGGGAGGAGGTCACTAAAACATGGTCTGCTTCTCTTAATACCACATTAAAGTGGGATTTTTAGTGACTTCACATTCAGCATTCGGGCAACAAATAATGATGCCTGCAACATGCCGGGCACTGGGCTAGTTCTGGGGTAGGGTGGGGAGAAAGGTCTGGTCTCTTCCATTACTTCCAGTTTCTTCCTTTTGTTTAAGGGTAGCCTGTATTGGTGACTGGATTTCATCTAGAACTCTGGACTGTTCTGGCTGTAGGTTCAAGTGCTGGAGCCGGCAGTGGAGAGTTCCACGTTTATAGGCATCTGCGCCGGAGAGAATACCAGCGCCAGGACTACATGGATGCCATGGCTGAGAAGGTCAGTGAGCCAAGAGGCTGACTGCGCCCTCTTTGGACAACGTTCGTTTTTAGCCTTTAGAGAAAAGTGTTTGAGGAAGAGTAGATACGCTGATTGGGGCTCGTGTGAGGTCTATCTGCCCTTACAGTTGGCATGGAAAGCAGAGTCCAGGTGATCCAGGTCAGCTTCAGCACAGCAGGATGCTCACACTAGGAGAGGGACGAGGGTGGGAGTCTTCCATGTGTATGGCAGGGCACGGCAGCATCCCCTCTCCCTGCTAAGCCATTGGCTGTGTCAGGAAACAGCAAGCAGGGTCTCCCACTGCCTGAGTTGTTACTTCTCTGTTCTCTTTTTGGCTGAATGCCTAAATGCGGATAGCTGTGTTCAGTGTGAATGGTAGTGTGCTTTCAATGTGTCTCCTCCTTTAAGGATTTGGGTTTTCTGACTTTGGGGCTGGCATGTTTCATGATAGATGTCAAATAATAGATTATTTTAAGAGCTCAAGAATTGCTTAAGAAATTGTGCTTTAAGAGCTATTAAGCTTTCTATTACTTGGCTGAAGGGGCCAGAAACATCTCTCCTAATACTCTTTAAAAGTGCTCTTGGGGCATTTTACTCCTTACCAAAAATCTTTAGTGATTTTTGGCTAGAATTGAATTGAATCTGTAATTTACCTTGAATGAGAATGGATGCTATGATGTTTATCCATCTCATCTAGAATCTTTGTATCTTTTTTTTCATCTGTTTAAATCTTTTTGTATCTCTCAGTGATGATTTGGAGAGATTTTGACTCTCCACACATTTGTTCAAAGGTGTTCTAAGTTTTTTGACTGCCACGGTGCTGGGTGACTCCTTATATTTTTTAACTGACCATTAGTGAGAGTCAGAAGAAAATATACTGACAGTTGTATGGTGCTCCTGTATTTGCCCATCTTACTATTAATAAAAATCAAATGTTATTTGGCTGATTGCTTTTGATTTCCCAAATATACATCTGACTTCTCCCAGCACTGCATGAGGGATCATTCCTTGTTATTAATCTAGAACGTGGACCAAAAAAGTCCTTTTCCTCAGTATAGCCATGGTGCCTGTTATTTCCTAGAACACATTTGTACATACAAGAGAGATTCAGATACTTCCAAATGATAGTTATTTGTCTGCTTTTTATGAGAGAGGAAGCCTGTTGGCCCAATAGCATTTGCCTTTCCAGTAATTTGGTAAAAAAAGAAAATCAAACTCTAGAGAATTTCTACCTATATAAAGAAAGAAAAGGCTTTTAAAAATTAAACGTTCATAAAATAGAGCACTACATAGCAATAAAAAGGAACAAACTACTGATCCATGCAACAACTGGGATGATTCTTTAAAACAGGCTGAGTGAAAGAAGTCTAGCAGAAAAGAGACCATATTGTGTGATTGAAGTTCTAGAACAGGTAAAACTAGTCTGTGTGAGACAAAGTCAGAACAGTGGTTATCTCTAGGGGATAAGATCAGGGGTTGACTGGGAAGAGGCCTGAGGGGACTTTCTGGGATGATCAGACTGTACACTCAAGATCTGGGCATTTTGTTCTATGTATTACCTTAAAAGGAAAAAGAAAAGAACCGTCAACAAATATTAAGCCCTATTTAATGAGGTGTGTGCTTAATTGTTTAAGAATGGAATGTCCTGATGTCTGCAACTGACTTTGGAATGCACCAAAAAAATAAGATTGATGGATGGATAAATAGAGGCATACATAGATAGCTGTGTGATAAAGAAAGTACAGCAAAATGATAATTGTTGAATCAAGGTAGTGGGTATAGGTATCACATAATTTTTTTAACTTTTCTGTGTTTGACATTTTCAAAATAAGGCATTAGAGAAAATATTAAGCCAAGAGACAGCCAAGATACAAAAGAAAATATGTAAGAATTTGTTGGATTGCCAAAAAACTGAGTTAGAAAAAATCCTTCTGGTTTTGAAACAGAATGGGGTCGTTTTTGTGCTAGTTTTTACCTAACATTTGCTTGTCCTGCAGCCTTTCTTGGCCCCTAGATGTTGGTGGTTCTTCTCTAGCTACTGCCATCTTCTGCTGGTGACATTCTCAGTGGAAAGTTTCAGGTGTCTTGTCACACAGCTATGCCAGGTCACTGTAGTGGGTTTGCCACTGTCAGAAATAATGATCTGTATATAGAAACCATCAGAAACACTTTTCTTTTCTTTTTTTTCTTCATCCTGCACTCCTTTTTGAGAAACTTTTATTTTTAAACTACTTTAGAGGGGAGGAAATCAAGCAGGGTGTTGTCTCAAACACCACAAATTAGCCTGAAGTTTTTATATATTGGTTTACCATCCAGAGAAAATACAGAAAAATATTTCACAAACTTGACATTCGTACAAATACAAAGAGGCAAGCAACCCTCATCTTTTTCCAGTGACTTTTGGTAGGCAGTTGTCACCGCCAGCATGGTCTAACTTACTCCTGCCTGAGACCTTGCCTCTGCCCGGTACGGCAGCCAACTGGGGCTCTCTGTTTATCTCTGTTTAGTTCGCTTGCTGGTAAATTCATCTTCTTTAGCACAGAGCAAAACGTTTGTGGCTTAGCTTCTAAACAAACCAAGTGCTTTTAGATTTAAGTTACTTGCTTTCTGGTTGTCCTCTATTTAAAGCTGATATCCTTCCTGAAGGGATATTTTTTGCCCTCAGAGGGCTTCTACTGTTTGGTTTCTGTGCCACTGTAATTCGATCCGCACAGCCCTGGCAGTGCAGACCAGCAGAGGTGCTGGAGGCACTACTTCTTTGTTTGCCGGCTCCTTCTTTTATACCCCATTGGCCCTTGTGGCTGACTGGAAGAAATGAGAAATGACACTTTGTAGCAGTAGATAACTTTGTAGTTTACGGGTGCATTTCTATAGATTATCTTATTTCATTATTCTTCCTCTGGGAGAGAGGAGTTATAATATTCCCCATTTTATAGATGAGGAAACCGAGGCCTGGAAACAGAACTGCGGAGAAGAAATAATATTAATACAATACATACGTGTTTGTTTAGTAGCCGGCGTTGACAGCAGATGGTGTGTGTTATTTGGTGACTGCAGCTAGGGTTAGGGCTTGAAAATTACATAGTTCTGGCCCTCTGACCATTGTCAGTGTCCCAGGCCCTGGCTAAACAGACAATCAGAACAGCCTCTGCCCTCAAGGAGTCCTCTGTGTTCCCTCTCACACTTTCTCTTTTATGTTTTGTTGTGCTTGAGCAGTATCTCAGTGAACTGAAAGGGTTACTTTGCCATCAGCCATATACTGATTACCTACCCCGAGTGGCCCCTGGGCACCTGGGTGGTTCCCGTATTGCCCCCAGTGGTGTGACTTCTAGAGCCCTCATACCTAGCCCTAGTGAAACCTCCTAAAGTCCACCCAGACCAGAATGCGTCTAAATGATGTGGGTGTTCTGCAGCAAAAATTGGATGCAGAGTTCCAGAAGAGACTGGAAAAGAATAAAATTGCTGCGGAGGAGCAGACTGCAAAGCGGCGGAAAAAGCGGTAAGAAGTCGTGGCCTACCCTAACAGAAGTGAGACTTAGGACAGGGAATAGGACAGTGGGTGGTTGATGGGATAGCCAGGTCCTTGCAGGCCAAAGCTCATCTGTGTGATCTGTAGAGATTTGGCTGTTAACAACCTACAGTGACGCAGCCAGTAGAGGAATGACTTTGCTTCCAGTACCTGAGCAGAGAGCAAGTCCCTCATTGCCCTTGAGTTTGTTACAGATCTTCCAAAGCTTAGAAGTCAGGACTTTGGTGATCACATTGATCTCTGTGTCTCTTTCACTTCTGTACTTTAATTGCAGGTCTAACAAAGTGCTGTACCCGCACTTCCCATTTAGCTTGTTCCTTAAATTAGGGTCCTTGACCTCCCTAAGTGACTGCCTGGTTATACACAGTGTGTGTGTGTGTGTGTGTGTGTGTGTGTGTGTGTGTGTGTGTATGTGTGTACCCATGTACATACAGGTTTTCAATAAATGATCCCACAACTTTTAGAGAGCTGAGCAGGATTCTAAAAACAGTTTCTAAATATCTTGGAATGAAAAAGCATCTCCAGTATTTCTGAGATTGCTTTAATCACCTCAGGACTCCCCAGGATTTGATCTTGATTCATGACAGCTGCTTGATAATGTTAGAGTGGCAGAATCATGAGAAAGTATTTCTTTTATTTTGTTATTGTAATGTTTGTGTTATTATAAACTTTTTAAAGATACCATAAGTAGATGTTTATTTTCTAAAATATACAAATTTTTGGGCAGTTAAGAGATCAATGTATCTGTTTTACATTTGTAGCCAGAAGTTGAAAGAGAAGAAATTATTGGCAAAGAAGATGAAACTTGAACAGAAGAAACAGGAAGAAGGTGAGTGGTGCCCACTTTTCTTTGTCATAGCCTTTCTCTCAGCGTTGGTCATAGTGGCTGAACTGTCAAGAAACACTGAGATTTAGGGTTTGGGGCTGGTTGGCTGGCCACTGAAGAAATAACAGCCTATTTGTATTAGTTAGAACTTGTTTAATTGCAAGTGTCAGGAGGCCAAAGTGGCTTAAGCAAAAAAGAAAGATACAGGCCGGGCACCGTGGCTCACACCTGTTATCCCAGTGAGGGAGGTGGGAGGATCGCTTGAGCCCAGGAGTTCGAGGCTGCAGTGAGCTATGAATGATTAGGCCACTGTGCTCCAGCCAGGGCAACAGAGCAAGACTCTGTCTCTAAGAAAAAGAAAGAAAGAAAGAAAAATACTGGCTCATGTTAGGTCCAAGACAGACCTTTCTTCAGGCATGGCTGGCGAGGGAACTTGGTGACATTGGTTATTGATGTCTCTCCCTCTGTCCCCTGGCCGCCTGTCAGCGGGCAGGCTTGTGCCTCGTTGTGGTTTTGAGGTATCTACAGTAGCTCTCCAGGGCTGCATCCTGCCTCATTTTAGTCGAGGAAGAAAGATTGAGAGGCTGCCCCAGCTTCCTAGCAGAAGTCTTTTTGTGTCTCTTTGCCTGTGATCAAGGTACTTGCCGGGTTTAAGAATGCTTTTGGCCAAAAGAAACAAAATTCAGCTAACAGTGCTTAGACAAAGAGGAGTTAGGTTTTTTACATGATGAGAAATCTGGTGGTAGGTGGCAGCCTGCTGGGCCTCAGCAGTGTGGCCCATGCCCTGCACTTCACCCCACGCTTCTCTTGGCCCTCACCCTGAGGGTGTGAGGTGGCTGCCACAGCTCCTGGCACCACACCTGTGTTCAGAGCAGGAGGAAGGGGAACAAGGTGGCACTTGTCTGGTCTTAGTGGTCAGCTGAAGATTAGAGGTTTCCTTAAATGCCTTGAACCAGTAAGTCTTCCAGGCTTTGCCAAGGGGTCTGTGCATGCTGGCGCACACCTTCAGCGCCCTGCAGGCAGTTTACCGTTGGCCTCAGCCTTCACTTCCTGCTTGCACAAAGCCTCAGGGACAGTGGGGTGAGACAGCAGCGCCTTCGTGGGTCTTTCTTGGGCACGTGCACTGCTGTGCACATGCGTGTGGCCTTCTAGAGTCCCAGCTTTTTCCTCGTGAGCTTTTTGGTCGGTTTATTGTTTCTTCACCTGTTATTGCTGCCTCCGAGCAATGATGTTCTACAGTTTTCACTGATTGGTTTTGACAAACACCTGGGGAAAAAGCTGTTCAATTGAAGACAAGTCTCATGGGTTCAAGTTTCCAGGGAGCTGCCAGACCGGTCAAATAGGGACATTGCACTGGGGGTGGAACTTTTGAGGAGCTCCCAACATGCTCTGCCTCCTCCGGCAGCTGCTGGTTTTTGCAGCTACTGTGGTTGTGAGGCTCTTGGTTTTCAGAGCTACCTCAGAGAGGGAGAGAGGGGAGGGGAAATTAAAATGCCACAGAGCTCACTGTCCTTACTGAGATTCAAGTGTTTTTCTCAATCCAGGGAGCATTTCCAGACTTCTGAAAAAGTTGATTTTTATAATTTTTACCAGTGTTCTTGTTGCTTTGGTGGAGGAGCAGATCTTTGGATGTCCTTGCTCTGCTCTTGTGGAAGTGCTTCCGTCCTTTAAAAAAATTTTTTTCTGTAGAGAGGGGGTCTCGCTATGTTGCCCAGGCTGGTCTCGAACTCCTGGCCTCAAGTGATCCTTCCACCTCAGCCTCCAAAAGCACTCAGCTTACAGTTGTGAGCCACCGTGCCCAGCCATCCCTTTAAATTTTAACCTACCTGTAGCATTTGAAGCTTGCTCCAGCTTATATAACTAGAACCCTTTAATTGGTTTTTCATTCTAAATACAGGACTTTACATATAGCTCTTTTTGCATCTCATCTTGGTCTTATTGGTTCTATCAATTCAGGCTTCCAGAAACCTTTTGAATTCTGATTCTGAAGTCTAGCGTGTTACCTTATCTTTGGGAAGATTTGATCAACATACTTCCTTTGTCGTTGGTAAAAATGTTGAGCCAAACTGGACTGAGGACAGAGCCCTCTGGCAGCTCCAGGAGATCTCCATCTAGGCTGATGCTGACCCACCAAAGCACTGTGGGCAGAGTGGTTCTCCAGCTAATAGTCAGCCAGACTCATGATTTCCTTCATCACACCCAAAGGGATGTCAGAGGAGACGGAAGAGGTTATTTGAGGCCATCAAATAAGTACAGTAGACCTACGTTCTAGGCTCAGCTCTTACTCTAGCTCACTCAGTGACCTCAAGCTTCTGCATTCTTCTGTTTGGATTTTTTTTTTTTAACTTGCAAAATGATAAGCTGTTTCTAGATCTAAAATTCTACATTTTGATGACTTTGTCACATACCTTGCAGTCATTAAGATATGTCGTATTTGGGGGTTTTCCTAACCGGTAAATCTAAGAACCTTTTCAGAACAAGAAACTGAGCTCATTTTGTTGTGAGTTTGTACTTGATGAGCTTGTATTGGCTCTTTGAAATCACATATTAACTTTTTAGTGATGGGTTCTAGAATTGAAGGGGACGATGACAGCATCACATAGCTGGGGTCCCCCCCATTTTCTTTTTACTATGGTATAATATACATAACATAATTTACCACCTTAACCATTTTTAAGTGTACAGTTCAGTGGCATTAAGTACATCAGTAATGTTGTGTTACCGTCACCACCATCTCCAGAACTTTTTCATCTCCCAAATTTAAACTTTCTACCCATTAAACAACTCCCCATCCTCCCTCCCCACAGCCCCTGGCAACTCCCATTCTACTTTGTTTCTGTTAATTTGATTACTCTAAGTACCTCATATAAGTGGACTCATACAGTCTTTGTCTTTTTGTGACTGGCTTATTTCACTTCTCACAATGTCCTCAAGATTTACTCATGTTGTAATGTGTGTCAGAGTTTTCTTCCTTTTTAAGGCTTGAATAATATTCCGTTATATGTATATACCACATTTTGTTTATCCATTCATTTACGTATGGACACCGGCTTGTTTGCACCTTTTCATTATTGTGAGTGATGCTGCTGAGAACACAGGAGCACAAATATCTGCTCGCATCCTTTTGGGTATATACCCCGAAGTGGAACTGCTGCATCACATAGTGGTTCTGTTTTTAAGTTTTGAAGTGCTACCATGCTGTTTTCATAGTGACTGAACCATTTTACATCCCCACCAACAGAGCACAAGGGTTCCCATTTCTTCACATCCTTACCAACACTTATTTTCTGGGTTTTTTTGGTTTTTTTTTTTAAATTAACTATCCTGGCCAGGCGGGGTGGCTCACGCCTATAATCCTAGCGCTCTGGGAGGCCGAGGCGGGAGGATCGTTTGAGCTCAGGAATTCAAGACCAGCCTGAGCAAGAACGAGACCCCGTCTCTACTAAAAATAGAAAGAAATAGGCTGGACAACCAAAAATATATAGAAAAAATTAGCCGGGCATGGTGGCGCATGCCTGTAGTCCCAGCTACT